CAAATAATATTCAGAAATGAACGGATTGTAATCTAAAGTAAAAAGTTTGAAATCAGAAGTGACTGACATTGACTCCAATTTATTTAGATTATTTCATTGCATCGTGCGTATATAATATATTGAATTTATTTCATACATTGGAGATAATGCTCAAGAGTAATTATTCGGAATAAAAGAGTTTTATGTCATTAAGTGATTAAAAATAAACTAGAATAATATTAATAATTTTAATAATTATTTGCTTAAGCAACAACAACTACAGTTTAAACTATCCAAAATAGTATCGGATAACTTTTCTTAGGGATTAATATGTTCTATAGTTAAATTAAAAAAGTTTAAACATCTTCTTAAAAATAATCTATGGAATATAAAATTTTAAGATAAAATTTTTTAAATTTAATAAATAAAAAAGTTTATTTATTTTCTAACAAAAATTAAAACAAAAGAGATTAAAATTTATTTTTAATTAAATTGATTTTTATGTAATTTAAAAGAATTAATTTTAATTAACATCAAGTATTACCATTTTGTTTATTCTATATAGAATTGGTTTTATAGTATAAATTATTTTGTAAATAAAAATTGGCCTAGGCAATATAATATTATGTTTCTATAGATCTTTGCTTCGCTTAACCGACCTTAGATTTCAGCTATATACAAATCCCTTTAATAAAACTTGCAGAATGGAGGCTATCTAAAGCAGAAATGCAGAAATGTTTTCCGTAAACAATAGGAAACAAAAAAAAAACTATAATAGTAAAGTAAAAATATATAGCTGTGGTTTATGCGTTCAGTCTTAAAATTGCACAGCAAGTGCAATTATGGTTCAACAGTGAACAACAAAAACTGAATGAAGTATTCGTTGGCTATGGATGTTAACACGTGAGTCTATGACACAAATTTGGCAGGGTTCACTGCCTTAAATTTGCAGCCCAAAACATTATATACGTTCACTTGACACAAATTTGTCAGGGTTCACTTCCTTAAATTTGCAGCCCAAAACATTATATATGTTCACTTAAACCAATATATGTTTCCAAAATCGACTGATGATGGATATATGGAAACAGTTGATTATGAATTCATTTAATTTATAATTGAATTTTTTAAAAATTTATTTCTTTTTAACTCATCGTTTGCTTATTTCAAACTTATTATTTTTAATTAAATTAACTATCACACTATGAGTTAATTAACAAAGTTAATTGAGAAATATAAAAAAATAATTAGTTCTGAACTTAATTAAATAAAAAATTAAAATTATTTCAAGTATTTAAATTTAAAAAGTAAATTATATTTGTTTTATTTTTATATTTCAATTGGAAAAATATGAAATGTTTTATAGCTGCATTTGCTATGTAATTAAAGTGATTTTTTGATAACAGACCTGATATGGATCTGAAGTAAACGCTAGAAATATGTTCACTTCAAATAATTTAATAAGCAACAAAATAGTTTTTTTTTGTTTTTTGTTGAATATAAATATATTTTTAATAGCGTGAAATAGATTTGATAAGAACTAACCGAAATTGAAATAAGAGAGTCTTTAGTGACTCATAAATACATTTTAAAAATAAAAATAATAAAAATGTTCATTAATAATAAATTGAAAACAATTTCTCTAAAATTTATTCCAATTCCACAAATGAGTGTCAGATGCATGTAAGTAAATAGGTCGGAACGGTCGTTTCCAAGGTCAAACAAATGTTAGCACACAACATAATTATATATATGTAGTTCAAAAATATTTAGGGTCAAAAGTACTTGAGAAGTAATTATTAGTTAAAATCAGAAACATAAAGACAAGGGAATAATTTTTGAAATCAATTGTAAAATATGTGACATTTTTATTAAAAACTATATTTATTTTTCCAGTCGTTTTTTTTTTAACTTGACAGTCACATTATTATGAATAATTGTAAAAATGACGATAGTAACTAAAGTTGATGTAAAAGTGACTTAACATAGAAATATAATATAATATGATATAATATAATATATTGAGAACTCAGTCATAAGTGCTTCTCTCATAGAAACCATACATTCACTATATTAAATGTGGATTGGGATAGACTATTTTAAAATTTTTGGTAGTTGATTTGATTATATGATTGTAAAGCATCCACTTCTGTCCAAGTAGCGTCAGTGAGAAAAGAAATATTTATTAAATTAGACAATAATGAAGTTGGTCTATTCTGTGCAATGAATTCTATATTTTAGTAGTTATAGTCAATGAATAATCTAACACGTTTGATTATTACAATAAAAAAAAATATAGTTCTTAGAATCGAATGAAGTACTATAATCAAATGTTTAACAATACATTTTTCTTTTAATCAACAGAAGCTGGTTAGCAGAATATGTTTCAATGAATCATTCATTCATAACACATTATGCCCTATGTTTGATTAGAGGGACAGTTGCAATTTAGAAAATTTCTGTAAGCAAGCCCAAGTCTCTGTAGCCTATTCAGCTATCTATATTTGATGTTTAGTTATTAGAATAATTATAATATATATTATTATAATTATAATTAATATAATTATATAATAATTATAATTATAATACGGTCCAACCCGTTTAAGGGTGGATTCATTGATCATTTGATCTTCTAAACTGCAGCTGTCTCTCTAATCAAAACTAAGGCATTAAAGCATTATAAATAGAATAGTCTCTTGTTTAAGAGTTTTTCAATATCCTACAAACCGAACAAAATGTATTAAGGTTTATGAATGAAATAATGTTCCCCACTTTAATGATTACAAAAAACAATAGGACGAGTGTTATAAAAATCTAATAAATCGAATAACACAAGAACACATTGATTGATAAATAAAATATTATACTTTGGGTTTAACAAAGTATAATATTTAGCATTTTTGTATAAAGATTTAGCATCTTTGGGTTAGAGAAGACATGCCGTCTTACGTATGAAGGCCTATCTCACGTTTAACAGTATGTCTAATGCTTTCTCTCTAAACGAACAGAACCGAATTTGTCTTAACAATGTAGGAATATTTCTCGTTAAGGGGTTTCTTTAAGTCCCGATTAACCGAATAAGAAACATTTTAATTTACGAATGAAGGACTTTGAGAGTTTCTCTAACTTTTTAATTTACGAATAAAATACTGCGTTTCCTTTTGGAAGTTTCTGTAATTCTCACTAATCGAATAGTAGAAATTTTGACTTATGATTGAAGAGCTATACCTTATTTAGGAGTTTCTGGTATAAGAAGGAAGTATGATTTCCTGACCTAGAACCCTGCATACTGGCGCAAAGCCAAACCGCGTTACAAATTATGGAAAATATTTGTATGGTGCATAGCTAACAAGTGATTAAACCAAATTATAAAATACAGGCTATGCATACAGATTTAAATCTGGTTGTAACTGTAAATGCAAAATATATCCAAACTTTCATAACTCAGAGTACCATTTTACAAAGAAAAAGTTCGACTTATGGTGACTTCAAGTTAAAAAATTTTTTGTGATTGTATATAATTTGCTCTCTAAACCCTGTTGCACTCTATTTAGTTCGAAGTTTAACTGTATTACTTAAAAAACATATTAAATATAATTATAGCCTTAAATGCAATATTTCTACTATTAATAAATTACTTTTTATTAAAATATAATTTTGAATTATATGAAGCCTCTTTAAATATCAGCTGAAAAGTGGAGAGAGATGGGGAGAGATGTTTTGATTCATTTTGCTTTGGTTTTCGCCTACAATGGATGTAACTCACTTAAAATGCTTACATCATTTATAAAAATGCATTCAAGATATTTTATTTGTTGTTTTTTTTTTTTTGTCTATTTACTACTTTTCGTCTCAAGACTGCATATATGTGTGTATTGACAATGATGGATCGCAAGTACATAGGCCACTCACACTGACTGCATTTATCTAATTAAATCATATGGGCAAGTTTATTGGCATTGCTCCCATTTTCGGGTTGTCTATTTAACGTCTATTTGTTTAAACAACTCGAAATAGAAAAAACCAAAAACAAAAATAATAACGAAAATAAAAATAAAAACAAAAAAAAAAGAAACAAAATCGCAACAGAGTCGGCGAAGCATCAGATTTGAAAGTGCAACATGTGCAAGGTGACAATCCTTTTTTTAACTCAATTTTTTTATTTTTTTTTTTGTTCTGCATGCTCAACACAAACAACCTCGTAAATAAATTATTTGTATAAATAAAAAAAAGGTTGAAACAGTTGTGAGTTAGTTAAAATAAACAATTTATTAAGTAATAAGTTAAGAATAGATATAATTTTTTTTTAAAATAAGTAAATAAAAATTTTTAAAATAGTTTTAAAATTTAAAATTTTGAACTTGAACTACTTTTAGGTTAACTCTACGCATTTTCTGTTATAAAAAATGTAAGAGAACAGAAATTAAAAATCAATAACACCCGCCCGCATACGGCTGCTCCCATTTAAAGCTACGCTACTGTTAACTTGACTGATAAGAGTAACAGGAAATTTCTTTGCTTTAGGCCATACGTCACAGGTTACAAAAGCCATAACGAGAATAACACCTCAAAGCACTTGGCAAGAGCATTCAATGTCATTGCAGTGGGCCTCTAACATATACAGACTTATATTTACTAAATAACATACTTGTGTGTGTGTACGTATTATGCTAGAACATAATTGACTAACATAATTATGTTAAGAGCATGTCAAAAACTATTTAGCTGGTGGATGTGATAACAAACGTAGTGTAAATTGCACATCAACTATCAACTGCAAGCCTAACTCAAACTCATGAAATAACACTGCACTCTCACGTGCAATTCAACCGCAAATAACCTTAGAAATTGTTTTTTTTTGTTTTTTATTTGTGCCATTGAATTAGTTTTACTAACTGTAAAAAGGTGGCGCTATTGTGTTACACTTGTGCTCTGTTTGATTACGTTTAACAGTGGCGTTACGTTCTTAGAAGCTGAATTGAAGGGTTGGAAGGGTTGGAAGGGAATGGAACAATACTTACTTTTGGATCCTTCTCATAGTAATGTTGTTGCGTGCGTATCCACCTGCCGACCATGTTGTCCTTAACAGTGTTGGCCAAAGCGAAGTAGTAGTCGCGCAAAGTGGCTACATTACGATCCTTAACCAAGGTGTAATGCAAGTGACGATTGAAGTTCTTTTTCACTTCAGTTACGTTGCCCACCTCAGCAATGCCGCGCACACTGATTTGCTTACGACGATCTGCATCTGATTGCGGTTTCGACATTTTGATTTCGATTTATTTTTTTTATACTTTAACAACGTTAATCAAAATATGTGATTCAAAAATTTTTTTTTTTTTTATTTGAATTGTTTTTTGCCTTATAAAAGGAAATTTAAAAATTGCACTTAATTTGAATTCTTGGCTGTGCGCTTTTCGAATTTGAATTTTACGAACGAATTTATGCAATTTGTTAAATCTTTTCTTTTATTGTTGTTGCGTTGTTGCCTATTAAACTTCAACAATTCCAGAGCTCACTATTAAAAGACGAAGACGAAAAACAATAACCGACTGACTGCGACGACCGCCGTTTGCGAACTCTGGAGTACTTCTCAGCGCTTGAGCCAACTGCAAGCGTTGATATTGTGCCGCAACGACCGCACACTAAATATAAAATTTTCTACAAAAATTGAGTGTCACAGCTTTTTTTATTCGATTTTTTTCTTATTCGTTTTTGAGTATTTTCGTTTTGTGCTTTACGTGTTTTGATTTTCGGCTCTCCAAATCGAAGCGAATCGCTCCGTCCCTTGCCCTCCCTGCCAGAAGTTTCATTAACATTGATACTACAGAGCGTGCAATGCAAAATTTTTCATACAAATCCAAATACTTTCTGCATGATTTGCTTACTGATAAGCTACATAGTAAATTCACAAGATTTCAGGGTTTAGGGTTTGGGTTTTGTGGGTTTTTATGTTATGGGGCTTCGTTGCTGCTCTTCAATGCACACAAAAACTTAATATTTACTTAATATAATATTAATTAAACTGGATTAGCAGAGTTTCTCAGTCTTATAAACAATTTTACTGAGCAACTCTCGTTGTCCATAAGTTTGTGTGCTTTTCTATTGGATTGCTGTTATCAGAGCATTTTGGGTGGCATACACAGCTTCACACACTCCTACTCACACATTGCTCTCCTCAGAATTACGGTCACCTTGTCAAAAAGCAGAAGGTCATACATGCGTATACAAAGCAAGATGTTGTTTTTATGCTTTTGCTTTATTTTTACTTATGCAGCTGTTCGAACAGTTTTACTTGCACTGTAGTCCACAAATTGTGTAATTTGTATTAATTTGAACATTATTCTGTGCTGAGTGGTGCGCACTCTAACGTGTAATATTAGCAAAACATGTACAAGTGCTGCAACCAAAGTTTGGAATAGTACATATATAATTATATATGTATATAAAATAAACACGTTTTTCAAATAGTAGTGAATTACAACAATAAAAATTCTTTTTTTTTATTATTTTAATTAATTAAATTTTTGGCTGACCATGCAACTGTTTCGAATATTGCCAAATATCCATTATCAGTGGTCTTGGAAATAATTCTTGTATTCAATTATTCGTAAATAATATTTTGAGACTGCAAGTACCAGGAATCGAATTTGTGTCCTGCCAAATTTGAAGCTCAACTTAACCAACTTACCCAAAACCGTACTTGACTTTTAAGAACTTTATATGAAATAAACTTATTTTATATATATAGTAGAATAATATAAAATATATTAAATTATAATTATTACTGTGCCGATAACAACCAGATACAGAGATAGGGCAAGAATATGATGCGATGCGAACATGTATGGTGATGTAATAAAGATTGGAGTACTGAACTGGAAGAGAGTAACAGGAGATCGGGGCAGATGGAGGCAAATCGCGAGGGAGGCCAAGGTTCACACTGCACTGTAGTGTCAAAAATAATTATTATGAAAAATCCCAATAAACAAAAAATATATGGATAAAAAAGTTATTTAAGAAAAGTTATATATGAGTATATAAAATTTCATGAGTTATATATATGAAATAAATATATTTCGGATATATTGTAGAATCACATAAAATAAAATTTTATTTATTTATTTATTTTTTAAGTTAACACTAAAATTAATTTTAAAGTCTACTAGGTCCGTCGCCCTGTTTAAATAAATTAAATTATACTTATTTATGAAAAATGTCAATAAATGTAAATAGAAAATTTTGATATAAAAAAGTTATACAATAAAACTATAATTAATTATAAAAATACTAATAAACAAGAATAAAAAATAGTTGATTAAAAAAGTTATATGAGTATATATATGAAATAAATTTATTATGTATATATTGTAATATAAAATAAAAAAAATTAAATAATAATTATTTATGAAAAATGCCAATAACCATGAATAAAAACTATACGACTGACACAATTTAATAAGTGTAAATTTTTTATTTAAAAAAAAACATTTATAATTTTATTTATTAAATAAACGACTTAAGCCCAGTAACAATAAAAAAAAACTAATTGAATAATGGTCCTAATAATAATTTATTAAATAATATAAAATAAAATAAAAAAAAAAATAAATAATAAATATTTCTGAAAAAAATGAATTGTATTCTGTCACTTCGTAGTCTGACAAGTCTCTTACTAAAGTCTCTAATTTGTACGTATTCTCTTGCTCTAACAAACTAGTCAAAAAGTCTCTAATCCTTTAAAAAAGTCCAGAAAAAAAATGTTACCAAAGTCATAACCAGTCTAAATCTGTGCTTATAAACACACATCACGCGCATCGATCTCTATACTTACTCCCCCTCACTCATACTATCATCACCTAACCATATCTTAACCCTCTTAACCCAAGTTTTTATTACACATTCCCCGTAATTTTGAGCAGAAGACTAGGTGTTTCACAAATACAACTACTCAGCCGATATTTATGTTAAGAAAGTTGCGGAGTGAATTAAAGGATGAAGCAACCATATGCTTAAGCCTGAACCTGCATAATTTTGGACAGTGACACAATAGGTGTTCCGCCGTCACTTTCTTGAATGTCAGCGAACGCAAACCACGAAGTTATGCTAGAGCAGATCCAGTCCGCCTCACTGTCATCCTATAGTCCTCCTATAACTGTAACTATTTTTAGTATTTAAAATTTTAGATACTTCGATATTGTTCCTATGAATTAAGTCAGAAGTGCTGGATTTAGTTTATTTACGATTATATAAAAAACGATTATTATACACTAAAGTTTAATATACCTTTATTATATGAGAGGTGGTTCTATTCTTTTTTAATGGAATTAATTTCAATAAATATAATTAACAGGTATGTTTACAATTGTATGTATGGTATTGTTAATTTCGTAGAATATAGAATTTCTCTTATCACGTCCTTTAATAAATTTTTTATACTTGAAAATGAATAAAACACAATTTTGTTCCGTCTCAATCCATATATATCAGTAGTATCTTCACTGCATAAAAATATATCGGCGTTCAATTAAAAAATCAAAGGGGTCTAATAAGTAGAGATAATTGTTATGACCGCGAGTTCAAGTACAAGAAATTTCTTGAAGCGAATACCCTCTCTAAGTCAAAAATCTTAGAGTTTGACATGAAAGAAGAGAATTTCGTGTTTTCAATTGAATAAATTCTATTTTTTAGGGTTTCTTATCATAAAGTAAAAAAAAAACAGTGCTCTTAAAACGAAATAACAATAGTCTTATTAATCTTATCATCAAATAGATAAAAACATAATGAACAAGTTTTTCAATACACTTCGTTTTTAATTAAAGGATTTTACAGATTGTACAGAACTCAAGCAAAAGTTAGAAAATAAGTGGAATGATTTTACAGACCTCGCCGAATCAAGGACTTAAACCAATTCAATGATATTATACGGGTTGCAAAGCAACTGAATGATAATCAAAACATGGCTTTATAATCAATAGCAGGGCTTCGAACCGAAACCGAACCGAAAACCGAAAAGAACCAATATTTCTGTCAGAGCGAAAACAGAAACCGAACCGGTATTTTTGTTGGAGTGAAAACCGGAACTGAACTAAAATATATTTTGTTTTAAACCGGAATAAAAACCGGAACGAAAAAAATTCCGGCTGGAAGCCCTGATAAATTAAATAATCATAGACCACTCATTTAGAGTTTGAAAATAAACTGGGTGTTCCTAAAGGACTCACTAATACCTTGAGAACTACTTCAGTAATCCCAAAGAACTTTCTTCGTGTCTGGAAGTGAATTAAATGATTCTATGAACTTCACTTGGAGATTTAGAATCTATTGAATAATTCTACAGGGCTTATTCAGAAGTTTTAAATCAATGAAATGATTCTATTGGACTCACTAATGGTTGGGAAGTCAAGTAAACAACTCTACAGCAATATTTGAGTCAGTATAAACTGAGCCTAAGTATATTGACTTAAAAATCGGCAAAGACAAAAAACGATTCGCTGACGATTCGGAAAACATCTCAAATAACTGCTGTCGATAAATTACAGATGTTGATAACTGGTGGAAGATTATGCAAGAAATTAAGATTCACAAAGAACTGTAGTGTTATCAATAATAAAAATATGAATATGATATATTAATATCTATGACAATCATATGTGTCTATCAGATATTCAGAAGCCATGTATCAAATAACAAATACTGATGATTTAAAAATGATTAAATTAATGTGTAACTTTTGTACAATGATTTTTCTTGAAACTCTTAAAAGTGTTCCTGATTCTTCTACAATTCGGAATATTCTAAGCATTGCTTAGGACGGACAGACTGAAGACATTCGTTTAAAGAATTTTTGTTTATTTCACTTTTAAGAAAATGTAAATACCATGGCATATCTTCGTAATCATATAACGTTTATATTAATATTAATGATTTATATATAGATACATTATATATATATATTAATCATAGCCATATTTAAAAGCCTAATTCATTAAATAATAAGAGTTCTTTATATTCTCTTTCTATTTTTGACACTACTCTAGTATTTATTTAACAATATTCGACTATCTCCAATACTATCGGCTATAGTACTTTTATAATAGATTTCTTTTAAAGTTATTAATTGAACGATTGACAGACAGTTTTATATCTGTCTATATCTAGATATCTGGATAAAGATATATACGTAAGCAAACGCTGCAATCGTTATTACGATAAACACAGATCAATGCTATCTCCTGATAAAAACCTAGGTAAAGTTTTTATCCAAATTGGTATTCTGGAGAAAAATCCAATTAAATGGATATACTCGTTAATGATTCTAATTAACCATTTCAACGTTTAATAATAATATATAAAAATGCTTAAGATAGGAGATATAGTTTTAATTATCAACTTTTTAATTAAAAAAAATTTCATTTGCATTGCTATATTCATACATATTTATACCATATTATCCATATGAGGAACTTATAGAAAAAATTAGTCAATTTATGAATGACATTTTCACCTTCAAGAATGCAGCATACTTTTTGTGTATACTTTTTCTTCGGAAGAAGCTTTCAAAACAGCTTTCTCAGTTTAATGCATATATATATATATATATATATATATATATTTATATATAAATTTACATATTTAAATATATCCACATATATGTATATATATTTTACGATTATGCCAGTAAATAGCAAATAAAAAATTTATCAATTAAATCATTTAAAACATAAATTTATTTTGAAAATTAAAAAAAAAGAAATATGCTCCCTCTAGCGTGTAAAATTTTAACCATTAAAATCTACGGCTCAATGCTTAAACAACTTTCAAAATTTTTTATTATTTCTTATATGAGATATATGAAATAGCTAACGACTGACTTCTTTAAATATTTAAGCAATATATTTAATTAAAGTATTAATAAAAAAAATTATCCTTTTTAAATTAATACCAATATTAATAACAAAAATCTAACTAAATAAATGAGCTTTCTCCTAATCTAATTTAATTAGAAAGTATTAGAATGTCTGTTTACCAATTGGCTGGTGGTTCTTTTTAAGAAATTTAAGTATATTTTGCTTAGCACATAATTTTATTTAAATGATTATAAAAATATAAACAAAAGACAATTACATTATGTTGTTTTTTGAAATCTGAGCATTGATTATCATACCTATACCCCTTCCGTTGTGAGGTAAACAAGGTAAACAAATGATAATTAATAGGTGTATTTCTTTGTCATGAATGCTCAAAAAAAACAATTTTTGGTGCTTAAGAATAACTTGGCATCACTGCATAAACCAGTAAACATATATCAAGCTGGCTGCAGCTTTCCATTTTTTTCCAAAAATCATTCACAATAAATCAGTTCTATGATTTGGTACCATTGTAGTGCGCGAGAGGCTTATTCGTTAAGCACTTTTAGGAAAGTGAGCTTATTTTAGTGCATTTTGTTTTTTTTTGTATGTTAATTTTTGAGCACTGTGTTTTATTGGAGCGATCATGTCAAAAGAATACACCTAATAAGTATGAAAATAATGAAGTAGATAACATGTCAGAGACTGTGTGAACAATTTAATAATGATACGAAATATCAAATCATTTGAGTGGGACATAGTATTTCTTGTATATATAAGTAAAATAATAATTGTTTTTAGTAAAAAAAAAAATACTATGTAAATGCAAATAATCTTTGCATATGTATTTAATTAATAAAAATTGATTATTTAAATTAAATACATGATTATCAAAGAAAACTTTATTGTTTGCTAATTCTTTTATTGCGTTTATTGTGAATTCTAACAAACGTCAAAATTGATAAAATAAAACAATTGTGAATGACATTTTGAATCTACCGCTCTAAAAGTCAGGTTGCGCCGGCGCTTTTATTAATTTTGTTATAAATATTGTATAAAAGGTTTAAATATTTTACTTCCTCACATTTAGCAACAATATATTTCATGGAATTTTATTGAATTTTATTGAAACCGTAAGATTTCATTCAAATGCAAAATTGAGTGGAAAGATATAAACGAATAAAATATTAAATTATTAATCTTTTTTATTTCCTAGGTATTATTTTAATATTTGCTGTTTAACATCCGATTTTTATACAACATCGATATTAGAGTTATTCAAAATGTCCAGTTGTATTTTGGCTAACGAATTCAACGAAGACGCAGAACTTTATTCTGCTATGGAAATGTAAGTATATTAAAATATGCAATTGATTATAATAATAAAAACGATTTTTTTTATTAGTAAAAATTGAGGGTAATGAAATATACGGCAGTCAAGGAAAAATAATACTGAACCCAAGTAATTGAAAAAAAATTGCTATAGAATTTGATGACATTATTGACTTCATCACCTAACTTCGGTGTTTCTATATGTATTCAAGTACTACACATGGGTTAGGATATGTGTATGTAACAATGGATTAAAGAAAGATGGGATTTTAATTGAAATTCATTTGACTCAATGCAGAAAAACCTAGATATTTCAATGCGTCCGATCCAAAGATCAATTGGATTCGAGTTAATGTGTGCATTAAGACATAGTTTTATGACGGCCGGAGTACGACAAACAAGTGCTGTGCAACCATCAGCAGGCATTTCTAGCAATTGTTGTGATAGCCTGCGAAGATAGCATTTATAGTAGAAATGAGCATTTTTAAAAATCTTAACATATTTATAAACTTGTTTTGAAAAGGCACTTGACAAAAGGAAGGAACAATTCCGTCAATTATCCGTCAATTCTGCATAAAAGTTAATAATTTCTATTTTCGAAAAATTAAATACCTTGTGATGGTTGGCATCTATGTGGTCATCCTATCAAGTTAATTATAAGTATTCCTAACAGTAATTGTATTAATTATTCTGTAATAATAATAAAATTTAACATTATTTCCTTACTTTGCTGTCGTTGGATTTCTTAGATGTCCACATTTTAAATGCTGAATATGTAATTCATACCATCGATCTTTATAAATGAGATTTGTATTAATGAAAGAATGTATTGTAGACATTGGTTTCCTAAACTTCAAATAGTTAACGTCAACAAACAGTGACAATTAAAATTCTGGATCTTCATGTCCCTATCTACTTTCACACTTTCTTTACCTAATCATATTGTAAAACCCACGTATTCATATTTGAAATTCCTTTTATGTTATCTGCTAGTATATTTCTTGTACAACTACGTTGTTACAGTCCTTAAACATTTCTTGACGAAAACTGTAATCACAATCTATAAAAGTATCTCTACCACAGCAATAACGAATAGAAAGCCCGTTACAGTTCAAGCTTATCATAAATAGTGGGTTTCAGATATAAGAGCACGGTACATACTTACGACAACAAAAAAACGTTTTGCCCCACCAGTCTGCTGCATGAGCGCAATTGCGGAGCTAGACCAATTCTGGACGTCAGCGACATCAAAATTGCGAGGCCCCTTTTAATACCCAGTTATAAAAGTAAATAAGTTACATTCACTTCAAATTGAAATAAATGAATTTTCCTACTTTTAGTCTTAGTCAATTTTTTTTTAAATTATATCTGTTTATAGAATTGTCAATGAAGATAGTCTCTCTTGGATCATCATACTTCTCAAGTACGTCTTAATCAATTTTAACTTTGAGAAGCTTCTTTCTGTAGAAGTTATACTAACTGGAACTGTGAACATGATTCTGGTTACTATATAAACATTCGGATATACTTCGGATATGATTAATGTCATAAATGAAACCAAATGCGAGGCCCTTGTGGACACGAGGCCGTCGGAGGTCGCAGTTATCGCTGATGACAGTTGAGGCGCGTTATTTGCTGTGAATATTTGCTCGAACCTAAATACGTAACCACTTTGCCAAAATTAAAAACTTTTACGTTATTAAGAGTTTAATTTTATTTAAATATTGTTTTGTATTTTATTAATAAGTAATACAGAAATCTTTTCAATTACCCATTGTTTCTTTACATGTTAATTTAATTTTTTTCCATAATTTTCCTGCTGCAGATAAATTTTTATAAATACTTGAATTCGTGTTGTTGTTTTTTTTTTTGCATTTTTCTGTGTAAATTTATATAAATGTAAAATTTTAAATTATAATTTTTATTATGTCTCACTTTTACAACTAATGAATATAGAAAAAAATGTATTTTCTTCAAACACGTCATATGCCTAATAAATAATAAATTTTGAATTAATAAAATTACATGCACATATATTTTTTTATTTATTCATTTCTTTTTTTTTTTTTGTTGAATGCTGTAAAAAGTTAATATATCTTCAATGCTTATAGTAATAATAAAATTTACTAAAATAAGTATCAATTTTTAAATATTATAAATGATAATATTTATTAATTTATTACGCCATTTGTTTATTTACTATGTAATAATTAAATAAAATTTTTTTTATATTTAATGTTTATTTATCTTTTCATATGCTAGTTAAAAGCTTTGAGAACGCAAAAAATACTTATAACAATCTTGCAACATATATAAAATAATTTAACTTAAATAATATATTAATAAAATCTAACATAGTAGATAGTAAAAATAATATTTATATATATTATTTTACTTATACATATATAAAAAATAAACTACATAAATTTTTTTATAATTAATATATATGTTAAAACAAAGCTCAACATTAAGAATCTTATACAATATTTTTAATTATATTTAATTACGAATGAATTGTGTATAAGAAAAAAATAAATATTTGATAGTAAATTAAATAAAAGGAGAAGACAATTTAAATTTTTCTTTTATTTTGTAATTATTTTTTTTTTTAAAACAAATATAAAGTTCATAAATATAATGATTTAATAATCAAAAATAATTGAATTTTACAATGATGCCTGTGACTCCTTTATTAGTAAGTAGGCGTTGTTTACGAAGGACGAAAAGCGTTTGCAAATATATATTTAATAAAAATGTCTGCTTAAATTCTAATATAATTATTTTCTATTTCTTTATAAGCACACATTAAAAATGTTATCATTTAATTTATAAAATACCATTTATATTTTATTGATTTTTATTTTTTTTTTTAATTTAATGCCTAATTTATTTGTTGTGATAATTACTGTAGTTCTCTGTCAATGTCCAATGTCGGTAGAAATATACGATTTCTATATAATCTTTTTTTTTTGGTGTAACAGGAAAATTTTATTATTAAGCAATTGAAAAAGTAAAGTAAATTCTTACGATATTCTTTATAAATAATGTCAATGTTTTAAATGAAGAAAATTTCTAGAGACATTTCCTTCTGCATTAATAAAATATTTAATGCTTAATTGTTTTCACTCGTTCTACACTCTAAAATTTTGCAATTCTTCTATATTTAGCAATTTCACTGCAACAAAAGTAAAATTAACAACATTTTTATAAAAATAAAATTATTTATAATATAATTATAATAATTTAATTTTATAGAATAACAAAGATGTAGTAATAAAATATATAATTATAAATTGTTCTAGAAGGCATTGGGTTTAAATAACAAAGTGCAATATATCGGCATTGGCTTTGTAAATGGTATATTCTGGTAAAGTCCAAAACATAGGATTTATTAATAACTTCTGACATTAATAACTATAATCACCAAAACAAAACTTCTATCGATCTTTAATAAAATTATAAAAATAATATTTGCGGTCAGCTTATATAGAATGAGTTACAAAAAAAATTTATGTTGGCTTATTAACTATAAAAAATAAACAAGTAAATAAATAACGTTTATTGTATTTTAATAATTGTTTGCGATACTTTGATTTATCATTACTATATAATTATAAAAAAAAATACTTTAGAAATATTTTACCAATGCATGCACTCTTAGTTCAAATAATTATTATATTGAATTATTTATATAAAAAAAAATTTTTTTTTTAATAATAGAATTTTCTCTTATGATAAGAGACTAGCTAGAAGTTATTTATTAAAGTCACTAATTTAGTTAAATTTAAAAAGTTAACTTATTCATCCATTTTAAGACAACTATAACCAATTTAAATTTTTAATAAAAATTTATATTAAAATAAAATAAGTTTTTCTATTCTTGGTCAATGTTAAATAAAACACGAATTTTGAAATTATTTTAAAAAATATATTTAATTTGTACCAATATTTTAACTATTGTTTATTTTAGAATATACTCAAGTATATCAGTGCAAATGAAATATATTTTTTGGCACTAATTTAAAAAGTTGTATATTAATTAACCATTGACTAATTAGCCCATTCAAATGTATATAAATAGAAATTTGGAAATCAAAACAATAAATAATAAAATAACAAAGTAACATTTAAATAAAATACCTCCTTAAAGTTAAAAATTATTATAAAATATTAGTTAAAAATAATAATAATCAATAGGGAAAGGCTGATTTGTTGCATATAATAATATGGATATTAATTAATAATAATATTAATATTATTATTAATTAATATTATTAATTAATTAATAATTAATATTATTAATTAATTAATAATTAATATCATATTAATTAATTAATATTATTTGTATTATTTTAATATATAATACATACTTAACATATGTATATTAATGTATATTAGATATATATATTAAATATGTATATATAATAATATATAATTAGTATTATTTTCATTAATATTAATATTATTATTAATTAATATTAATATATATATAATAATATATAATTAATATTATTTTAATTAATATTAATGTTATTATTAATTAATATTACTATTAATATTAATTAAAATAATTTATTATTATTAATTAATATTACTATTAATATTAATTAAAATAATATTAATTACATATTATTATACAAATATATTCAATATATATATCTAATATATATATCTAATATATATATCTAATATATATTATTATACATATATTAAGTATATATTATATATTAAAATAATACATATTTATACATACAAATGTATAACATAAAAATATTATATATTATTATATATATTACATAATATTATATACTATTAAAAATATTACAATACATTATATATTATAATATATATTATATACAAATAATTAAAATTTATTGAAAATAAAAAACAAAAGCTTAATTTTTTTTATTTCATATTTTATTGAAATTTAAAGTTTTTGTTGTACAGAAAAATCAACAAAAATTAAAATCTAAAATAAAAAACTATTGTTATATTTAAAAATTCAATACACATATATTGGTATTTGTATATATGTAATTATTTCATACTCATTGCATATTTTATAAAAGGTTTCAAAATTTTTATTCAATTCATATCGTTCGTTTAAAAAAAATTCATATAAATATTCCAATCATATAATTCTTAAACTATAGTTATTAATTTAAACACATAATAAAATTAACTAAAAAATTTATTTAAATAAAAGCATATAAGAATCAAATTTGGATATATTTTTGATTAAATAAAAACAAACATTGAATAATTAAAGAAAATATTAAACTTCGTTCGTTTGATATAAAATATAATTATAATTGCAGTGTCTTGCTCCAGCTATCTGTGTCAAAATTTCTTTTTGTATTTTAATCTTTAAGAGTTACGATTATTCTATTTAATTTTTTTTTCTGTTTGTTGTTGTTGATATTAAAGTTTGTTGTCATTACTTAATTTTTTGTATATATGTTTTCATTTTTTTGCAAATATAACATTAATAAATTGTTCTTGTTTTTATTATATAATTATTAATCTTTTTAGTGTTATTTTTACAAATAATCTACTTGTCCTTATCTGTCTCTGCTGCGATTGGTTTCTTATTGACAATCGGTATGGCCACCTTAATTCTGAAAGAAAAGAGATATATTAATAATTTTCATATAAGTATAATAAAATTAATATACTAACTTGTCAGTCACTTCCGTCAGCTTGCTTCGTACCAAATCCAAATAAGCATCTATTGATTGTTTGTTATTTTCGTATACCTTTGGCAAAGTGAACAGTGTGACGAAAGCTAGAGGGAGAATATAAAATATATGAAAATAATTATTAATTTATTTAATAATAATGATAAAAAAAAATAGATTTAAAAAGATATTTATTAATAACTAGCTGTAGCCTGCTTGCTTTGTTACGTCTCACAGCTAATATATGATATCATTTTTGATCTCTTTTAAACATTATAATTTAAGACTTGAAATAAGGTCCATGATAGAGGAAAATTTTTATTTTATATAAAGAATGCTATCACTTGAAAAACGGTGCAGTGCATGATAGAGGAGAACTTTTATTTTCATAGAAATATTTCCAGAGTTTATAAAAGTTCTCATATTTAAAAATTAAAGTTAAATTAATTTTAAAATTAAATAAATAAGAATATTATAATATAATTCTCATAATTAATTAAATGAGAATTAAATAATTGTCATATTATAAGAATGATAAAAAATAGCCTTTGAACTTTTTATACTACTAATAAAAGGACTTTTAGATATACCTTAATAAGTATATATATATATATATTAATAAGCAGGCAAACACAATAAGGAAGTAATATATATAAGCCTTATGATTAGGTTTAATAAAGATATATTAAACAGTTCCGTTAGATAAAAAATGGTAATCTATAGCTACAAATAAGAAATTGTCACCAAATAATGATAGATGTAAAGACATGATATTAGCAAAAGTTCAAAGCACAATTTGTAATAAGATGTACTACAATCAAGTTTTTTTTTTTTGACTAAACATGGTGTTTAGAAGTCTAATGTGAACTCATTTAGAACTATACAAGGTGTATTTTTGAACATAAAATTTTTACTTAATATCTTTTTGTGTATCTATTTTATGTAAAACAATAAGCTAACTAATACAACTCATGCCATTTTCGATTGGTAAGACTGGGGTAACTTTTTCAATCTATATTTACTTTTACTTCAATTTTCATTTTTAATTGGTAAATCTCGAGCAAAATGTATATAACTTTAGATATTTTACCAGAGTAGCAAGATTACTCTGAAACACACAGCTGTTTTATATGTGATTTGATTCGATATATATATTTATGAATAATACAAATATCTACGAACATGACTAAAATAAACGTTAGATTACTCTAAAAATGTTTGATTGAACAACAAAATTTGACAGATTGAGAGTAAATCTATAGATTAAATACAAATTTACCAATCGAAAATAGCATAAATAGATCTAAAATTTTTGATATCTCCGTTTGTCTTAATCTTACACATATCGTATAAATACCTATTGAACACAGAATTATATTGATATAAAAATATAAGAACACTTCTCGGTTGGTATTTTAATCTTATTTAACACCTAGTCAAAGGACTCATAATGCATTCGATTAAACATTAAGAATTCAATTAAATCAATGTATTTCAAAATACGAAAGGATATTCTTATTAGCCAGTCAAAAGAATTATGTGTAAAGTATGTACTGTATACATTTATTTTATGTAAAAGTCTTACTACTTAGTTTAAGATACTATTGATTAGCAACGAAAACATTGCTGTATTGAAAATAAGAGTTTTTCTTTCGTTTATATTCAAAAAGGAGTTTTTAAAGTTTTTAAATAAAATATATCTACTACTTAAACTTTTAGCTATCTATAGATAAAATCTGTAATTAATTTTGCTTTACTTCTCTTACAATTGAAAATTTATTAGTTTTAAATTGATTTTTATTATTTATTAGCAATAACACATACCCAAAATGACTAAAGTCATGCCATTGAACCAAGCGCCAATATATGTCATAACCCACAGAATAACACCGAACTTAATGGAATCTACTAAATCTTCAACCAAGAATAATCGTCGAAGTTCAGCAGTAAAACCATTTAAATGGGCCACAGCCACACCAGCAATGTTTTGTACTTTATCCTGTGATAAAGTTAAATCAATATCCAAGTATTCCCTTAAAAAAACAAAAGACATTTAATTTTATTTACAAAAAAATGTATAATTATAAACTTACTTGAATGGATGTCCTTCGGATGTTTTTTGTATGGCTTGCATTACAGATTTATACATCCTGAATGCCACTGTGCCGCCTAGTAGAATAAGCGATAAATACGCAAATACGCTTATGACCGAAAAGCATGATATGGCCAGGAGTGTTACAAGCCCGGCTCCGAAAACAATACCTGATTTCTTTACATCGCGCCAATATATAAGGGATTCAACTGTAGAATAAAAGAAAAACATTTATTAATTATGATAAATTTAAATAATTAAAATAATATACGAATAAATAAGGCTAATAATATAATTTATTAAGAGAGCATTTAAGCGAAAAAGAAAGTTTTTTAATTTTAGAATAAATATTGAGAGAAAATGTTGATAGTGACATTGAAGACACAGTACCATGTTTTAGTTAGCGAAACCCTACTTTATAGCATTATTAAATATATATAAGCAGTTTAAATATTGATAAAATGACATCATTTTGTAAACTTAAAGATTTACATGTAATCCCTTATAATATTTATTTATCTCACATGTGAAGAAATAATTAAAAATAACTATTTTAAAAGTCATTTCTTCGAATAAAAAAATTTAAGTAACATAACTTTTAAAGCAAATAACTTTATTCTCCATATATATTATTAACTTTTTTCATTTTCTTACTAGAAATATAGCTTGGAAACTCTGTGTTTATATTCTGTCTTTATTCTTTATTATACGAGTATTAAGAATACGAGCAAAAATAAACATTTTGTTTATAAATTGCAAACAAAGGTACACAGAGCAATGACATTTTGCACGCAAGAACACAGTACTAATAAGGCGAAGACTCAAAATAAAATTTTACCGATTATTTTTTTAATGGAGTTTGGCTCATAATTTTGCTAAATAGCATAGAAAGAGAATAATTTGCAAAATTAATAGTAAATAGAATAGTAAATAGTAATTTAGATTTAACACTACTTAACATATACTGGAATAAAATAAAATATGTGTATCAATTTCAGTGGAAATATGATAATAAACTGTTTTATATGAAATCATCAATTTCTTATAATTGATAATAATAACCATGGAAATATAATAATAAGCTTTTTTATATGAAACCTTAAGTTCTTATTGTTTATTAGTTCATTTAGAAGAGCTGGGAGTGCGTATATTATATACAATATAATATTATATTATAACAGTTGGTTAAGGTACGCTGACTCTGAGCTGCAAATTTGGCAGGGCACGAGTTTGTTTCCTGGTATTGGTGAAGGATATTTGACAATACTTGAAACAGCTGTATGGTCAGTCAAAAATTCAATTAATTAAAATAATGTAAAAAATAATTGTTGTTGTTGTAGTTCATTAATTTTCGAAAAACTCTTTATTATATATTACATAAATATTATTTAAAATTGTTTCTCATGTTAATCGGCGATGTTTATTTTATGTTTAGGGAATTGGTAATATAATATTTAGATCAGTATAAAAAATGAAGTGAATCGCTATTTCTCACAATTTATTAACACACAATACTTTAATGACAAATAATATTGTATAATAATATACAACAATTAATTGACAATAGTAATATATTATATAAAAAAATTAATTGACAATAATAAACGTATTGTATTGTCAATACAATACATAACTTTAATATATAATTACACTTAGGAAAAATCGAAGTATGAGGCTCTATGCTTCACTGGGAGATGCGGATCACAGAAGAAGAAAAATCGAAATATATATAATTGTTAAGATGACTATTAAAAAATAATATTATATGAATTTACATATAAAATTTAAGTTTAAACCATATAAAAAAAATTTTTTTAATTAAGAATTGTTATCGTTCAAAACCATAAATTTTATCTTTAAGAATATATCGTTTTAAAACTTGGAAAAATTATTTTATTTTTTAAATTTAATTAAAGTGAAACTGGTATATATAATAAGTGTTTATTTCTTTATTACTTTTTTGGTATTATTTTATAGTAATTGTTTTCATTATTTTTTTAATGGAATAATTGTCGGAAATTGAACTTTTTGAGTAGTAATATTATTTCAAGTTCCATTACAAATATTTATTTGAAAAAAAAAAAGTTAATTTGCATTCTCATATATATATATATATATATGTATAGATATTTTAAGTAGTTGCAAATTAATTACAATCTAAGCAATAACAATAATGAGATAATATTTTGAAAATGTCTCCGCGTATAACAAATATCTATATACTTAATTAGATTTATTTACTCGAAAGGCAATAAGGCTAAAGCTGTTAATACTTAAAAGATTAAATTTAAAATCACTTTCAAGAAAACAGCAACAATAAAAGAATTTTAATTAAATCGAATATATCTCCCTAACATTAAACTATATATATTTACGCACGAATCTTAAACAAATTCAATACGAAATTATTTATGAGAGCATTTTTAAACATTATGCAATCTCTAAGATAATTCGTCAACTTAGCTAAAATTTTTGTTTCTTCTTTTTTTTTGCTGTTTTTTTTTTTATTTTGTATTTTAATATTCACAAATATAATTAATGTTTATAAATAAATCTGAGAGAAATTGCATAGATATAATACTGTAAATTACGTATGGATTTGCACATGATGTCGTTTTATGCACTTTTGTTTTAATTTTTCACAACAACAACAAAGAAATTCACTTAAAATATTTTATCAGATTTGTGTAGTTGCTTAAATAGGAGTTTAATTAAATTTATTTTATTTGAATTTAATTAAATCTCTATATGTATCTCTTTGAGTTCTTTAAAATCTTTCGAAAAATATACAAAAACTAATGAAAACCGCGCGCGGGTTTACACAAAAATAAATGCGTTAACAGTGACCACACGATGAAATCAAGAAATCAAGGCATCTGCCCGAACGTTTTGGGGGACAGCGACAGTAACAGCACCAATTTTATTTCTTTGTATCCGAAGAGATATTTTCAATTTTCCGCTTAAGAAAGAAAGATTTTTGTTTTATATTTGCGCTACTAACAAAAAAAAACAAAAAAAAAACAAACAAAAAAAAAAAAAAAAAAAAAAGAACAAAAAAAGAACAAAAAAGAAGAACATTTAACAAAGAAAATAACAAGCAAAAAAACGCAAAGTGAATAAGGAACGACGACGACGACAATAAATACAGGGTAATGTATAAAAAGCACAGTTAAACCTGATTGGGACTAACAAAGGTATGGTATACTGATATATTTTTTTATTATATATACGTAATCTCTTCTTGTTAGGTTGATGTCTATGCTTTAAGTGCAGGCCGGTCCTCAGCTAATATTTTACTTCAGTGGGTCTTTCAAATGATTTTAATATTTAAAAAAATTGTATTTCAAAATATAATAAAATAAATTAATAAAATAAATAAAAAATAATAAATAAATAATAAATAAATAATAATAAAATAACGAAATAATAATAAAATAACTAAATAATAATAAAATTAATAAATGAATAATTCTTTTAAATAAATAAATAATAACCTTTTAAATAAATAATAATTTAATTTAGAGTAATCTAATAAAAATTTGATTTTTTATATATAACATTTATTAATAAAAATGTAATAATATATTCATATTAATTATATATATGTATAAATAGCCACTCGATTTATTTCTGTGGCGTTTTAGCCCTAGTAAACATCTCCTCGGCGGAGAAGATTTGACAACGTCAAATATTAAAATTTTAATAGAGATTGATTTTAGATGGCATATATATATAACTTATATTTAGTGTTACACTGCATCACACTTATCATACTATCATATCATACTAAACATATTATATTAAATCTTATCATATTAAAATAAATCCAAGTAAATTACAAAGTAAACTCTAGTTCTGCAAGCAGTCATAGCTCAATGTTACTCATTTCTTAACACAAATATATTAAAAATCAAAGTGCTAGTTTAAAGCACTAAACTAAATTAAAATGAAAATACAATCACAAATTAATATTTCGTCAAAATCAAAATACTTCCTAACAGCTTAAAAAATGAGAAGAGAATAAAAGAACAATGTAAACTTTGACGAAAAAAAAAGTAAAGTGGCACTTGAAAATTAACAGCATCAAAAAAAAGTAAAAAGAATATAAAATTTGGTAAGAAAGTAAAATTTGGCGAATAAAAAATAAAAGTAGTGATAGTGAAGCTTTAAAGTTTTAGTTGAAGATCTCTATATATATAGTTAATAATATATTTAATAAATATATATACATATAATAAAAGAAATAATTAAAAATAATTTATATTCATAAATATATTATTTAAAATTTTATTATTACCAATAAAAATAGAATAGTGGGAGAAAATAAAAAAATGTATTGACTTAATAAAAAGCATAATAATGAAATATTAATAAAAATTTATAATTAAAATTTTTATGTCTATATATAATAAGATATAGAAAATATGGAGTAAATTCTAAATTCTAAATTTGAAGTTTTTACATAAATCTATGATGAATATTAAAAATAAAAAATAATAGAATATACCATATAAATAAAATAGAGAGAAGGAATTAAACAATAAAAAAAAAAGTGGAAAGAAAAAATAAAAAATCAATGTAATAAAAAATTGTGATACATATATTATGTATGCTAAAATATAACATTTTAAAGAATATAATTTATTATAAAAATAATTATTTTTTCAAATAATTTATTATAAAAATTATTGATAATAAAAATAAAGAAAATAAAAATTAAAAATTCACGAAATAATTATTGTGAGACAACATTTTCTTGAAAAAAACCTAATATTAAAATAAAATAACTACAATAAAAATAAATTAAAATCAAACACCTTCAAATAAAATAAAAATTGATATAATAATATATATTTATGATTATATAAATAAATTATGAAAACTATATTATAATAAAATAAAGATCATTTAAAAAATATAATTTAAAAAAATTAAAATAAATGGTAAAAAAAACACTAATAACAAATTTTCAAAATTAAAGAAAAAAATATTTATTTTTAATATAAACAAGTTAATAAAAAAAACAAGTTAATATATATGCAAAATTAATTAATATATATTATCAATAAAAAATAATACAAATAAAAGAAGCAGTTGTCAATAGAATAAAGAGTTCGCTACCAAAGAAACTATTGAAAAAATATATCAAAAGGTATTATTAAAATAAAATGATATAAAATTAAAGTTAAAACGAAAGCGATTATTTAAA